CATCTATTGAGGAATTGTCACCTGTGAGAATCTGTGCATGAGCTCAGCCACTGGGCTTTGGTAAGGCTGGGAAATGAGGGCTCTTGTCCCGAGTGTCCACAAAGCCCTGCAGTGACAGCAGTGTTCCTAAGTGGAAACTCACTGGCACCAGTATGGGACAGGTTAAGTCTCTGTTGCCTCTTACTGCACCCCAAGCCTATGTGCATGAATTGGTTTCTTTTTCCTCAACCTTTTCCAGAGTGAAAAGAGCTATGGAGAGGTCTCCCACCTGAATGGCAGGATGTGTGGGCTGGGCCGTGGGGTCACTGAACACCAAGCTGGCCATGGTGCTGGTCCTCATACTGTACCACCGCGGAGCCGTGGTGCTGGTCCTGACGCTGTCCCACCATGGAGCCAGAGGCTTGCAGAGGCTGAGTGGCTACGAGGAGCAGAGACGGCCACAAGGCTGGAGCACCACCAGCAACATGCAGCATGTTGGATGGAGATGGAGCTGCTTCAAGAACAGCTCAAGGCCTCGCAGGAGAAGGTAGGTGTCATTCAGTTGGTGACAGGGTGGCAGGCTGCTGAGTGGTCCCTGTGATGTTGGTATAGCCCAGCTTGGGGCTGTACTGAACACCTTCCCCAGGCAGAAAAGACTGTGCTCTTCCTCTTTATGGGGGGCAGAAGACTCGCCCTCCCACTTAGGTATGTCTGAAGCGAGACAGGTCCTTACTTGCAGCTGCCTCTGCCTTGTTCCCTCTGTCCTTGTCCTGTGCAGGCTGGCTGGGCAGAGGAGATGGAGGCTGAGTGAAGGTGGCTCATTCGGGAGTGACAGGAGCTGTGGTTTCCCCATGGTTCAGCTGATAGAGGAACTAGAGTGGTGGCAGGATCAGGTAGGGGCTGGGCAGGGATGACATGGGCCGGGCAGGCCATGTCTGAGGGGAGGGAAGTCAGAGCAGGGGAAAGAGGACCACAAGAACAGAGGAAAGCCAAAGTTAGAAACCTCCAAATGTGTTAATATCCCTCTCCTGCCTTCTTCCCTGGGAAAAGGCTCAGGGACTGGCTTTCCAGAGTACAGCTTGCTTGTGCCAGCCACTCCGAGAGCAAAGCTGGACCAGACTTGCTTCCCAGTAGCAGGATTCCCCTTTGCTAGTGGCAGGAAGCAGAGGACATGGTACAGGCAGGGATTGAAGCCCAGCTTGCTTGTGGTGTATCTATCTAAGAACAAATGCAGTGAGCAGCCCCCTCTACCTCCTGCATTGCAGCCCCTGGAGCTAGCAGTAACTCCTGCTTCTTGCTACTCAGCAAGGGGAGCATCTCTCAGCAAGGGATCCCTGTTTCTCCTCCTGCAGTTCTGTGTGCTCTCTATCCTGGCTTTGTAGGCTGCCTAGCACACACCACTCCCATGGTCCTGCTGCTCTGCTGTGGCCATACTGGCATGAGAGCCAGGGTGGGGGCTGAGGGTGCTTTCCAGCCTCTCCCCTCACCTGCAGCACACCCTGGGTCTGTCCTATTGCTGGCACAAAACTGTAACCAGCTATTGGCCTTTGTGTTGCAGCTTTTAGAAGCCAAAGCAAGCCTGAGCCTGGCCCAGACTCGTCATGCTCTGCAGTTGCAACAGGCCAAGGCCCAGATGAACAACATGGTACCAAAGAAACACTTTGAGGAGCTGCAAACCAGCTGGAGAGCAGAGCAATGCAGGGCTCAACAGCTCCAGGAAAACCTCCACCGACAGGCTGAGCAGACATGCAGGCAGCTGGTCAGGACTCAGGTAAGCAGGGAATTGCAGGAACTCAGTCAAGGGTACCAGGGAGGGAGCACTACCAGCCTGGAAGCCACCAGTGGTCTGGGTATATCAAAAGTCTATGTGGAAAATGCACTTGATCTTCAAGTTCAGCTGCAGTTTTCGTTCCTCATGAACCCAGGCACTGCCTTGCACTCAAACAGGAACCCTCCCCGCTCTAATCCGCCTACCCCAGGCCATATACCTTGTGCCTTGAGGAGCAGGAGTTACCAGGGAGACACTTGATTCAGGCTGGGGAAAGTCTGAGCCCTCCATGTGGAGATATAGCCTGCATATAGTGAGGTGGTTTTGTCTCAAGGGCACTGGGCAACAAGGTGTTGGGGTTTTTTGAGTTTGTATTTTGTTTCAGGACAGTGTAATTCAATTGAACTAACTTGAGCAAAGGGAGCAAATTACAACCTAAGGAATTAAAATGAGCAGACACAAAAACTGTATCGATGGAAACTGTCTCTCCTTTGGCTTTTCTGGACATGGCCCACTGATCCCTTCATGCTCTCCTTCAGGGTGTGAAGGTCTGTGAGCAGGGCCCTGGGGAAATGCATGGTCCAGGATTGCCAGGGAACAACCCAATGTTAGTATTTATTACTTGCTGCAGGAAGAACATGAGCGTCTGCTGCAGGCAGCTATGGAGCAGGCAGAGGGGCTGGAGCACAACCTCAGGACTACTGAAGCTGTGCTGGCAGAGAGGGCAGCTCAGCTCAAAGATGCCCAGGTGAGTGGAAGAGGGGTTAGTGCTGTGGGTTCCTGCCTGGCTGGGACCCAGCATGGGGATGCTGAACTTTTAGCCTCTTGTCCTTGCTGTAGGCCCAACTCTCCAGGAACAAAATGCTGATTGAAGACCTCCGTGAGGAGAACAGGGGGGTTGCAATGGCCCTGCAGGCAGCTGAGCTGAAGCAGAAGAGCACCGAGGAGAAGAACCACCTGTTGGAGGAGCAAGCCTCAGCTCTGAAGCAGCTCATTGGAAAAATCACACCAGCATCTCTGAGCGGGTGATGGGGCACCGGCTGTGCAGCCCTGCCCCTGGCCAGGGTTTGTCAGGTACAGAGGAGGACGTATGGCTGGGTTGGGAAATGAGCCTTATCCTCCCTCGTCTTGCCAGGATTTTCCTGGGTAGAAGGTAGAAAATGAAGAAACCAGACAGAAATTGGTCCTGTGGATAGATGAATTTTCCTAACTGAAAGCCCCAGCTTTGGTGCCTTTCTCAGTAGCAGTGTGCTGTTGTAAGTCCAGTCTGCCTCAGGGCAGCCATCCCACAGGAGCTGCCTGCACTTTGGCAGCAGGTTTAGTGGCGGTGCCAAAGTGCTCTCTCTCTGGAGGGCTGCTGTTGGGGCCATGCTGTTACAGCTGGGAAGCCAGGCTTGAGGGCTGGGCAGGAGGGCTTGCAAGTTCTTGCATCTGGCTCACTCCAAACAGGAAAGCTGGATTGTGTCATTAAAATAATTGCAGTACCTCCTGCCATCTCCAGTCTACTCTGTATTTCAGTAGCCTCCCCCAACTGTTATTCCCTACAGCTTCTCTTGTGCTCTCGGAGACTATGGCCTTCCTAAAGTCTGAGCCTAAGATCAAAACCAACCTGATGCCAGATTGTTGCCTCTGCGGTGAGGAGGACAGAGGGGCTGAGGGAAAAGCCTTCAGTTTGAACCTCCAAGGCTTGGGGCAGGGCTGGTGACCCCTCATCAGTAGCACTGCCCTTCTTCAAAGAACACCAGGAGACATGGTAAGTGGACTGCATCATCTTGCCTTCCTTGTTGGCCCTCACACACTGGCAGTGAGCAATGTTCTTGCCCAAGTAAGTTGTCTAAAAGGCCACAAAGCCAAGCATTCATATCAGCAAATGCCTAATTTTTTGATCTGGCCAGGGTGTTACCCTCTGCATCATTGTCACCAGTGCCTCTGCCTTGCTCTGTGCAGAGTAGAGGGTATTTACGTCGGGGCTGTGGTTGCCACTAGCTGTTAAAGGACTCCTAGGATTTTGGGGGCTATGGAGACTATTGTACAAGACAGACTAGACAAGCCTGTCTGGATCAGGGTAGCAAAGCTGAACAAAGTTAATACAAAGAAGAGGGCTTAAAAATAGCTCAAGCTGTTGATAGTTCAAGAACAAAAGGGCTTGAACAAATTGGCTGAGCTGAAACCCGGCCACTGCTTTTAAGTCCCAGCCTGCCAGGGCAGAGGGCTTCCCTAGCCCTGGGACAGTGCCAGGAGATGGCTGGAGGCTGACTGAGACCTCCTTGATTGAAGTGTGCTTTTTCCACGTGGTGGGTGAAAGCTGGTACTAGAGCCTTACTCATGGCTTGGAAGTGTTACCTCTCAGCCACTACTCAAGTGTGAGCAGCTCCATTAGGAAAAAAGAGATGGTGGAGCAGCCCTTCAGCCTTGCTCTGATACTGTGCTAAATGGAATCTTTAAAATCCTCTGCTCCCTTACCCATCCCTACTCCAGATAGTCCCTAGGCCCTGCCAGACCCATGCTCTGGGGAACATGACTCTTCATAGAGGAACCACAGACACAGCCCAAGTGTGCTGGGAGAAACCATGGCAAGGCTCATGACCCACACTGCAGTCAGCGCTCATTCACTCCACACCTTAAGCAGCATACATAAGGCTTCTCATGGGAGTCAAGGCTTCAGTTGTGTCTTAGAAAGACGCTTGTGCAGCCTTATCTGACACTTGGAGGAGCAGCGCCACTGAGACACCTAAAGAACCAGTTGAGCTTCAACCTGCAAGGTGAAGAGGGGTTGGGCCAGAGAACCAGATCAGTGTTTAAACAAACCCAATGTTAGCTCTTGAAAAAACACTCAATTGAAGGCTGAAGCCATTTTTATTTTGCAGCCATGGAGCTCTCCTGGCTTCCAGAGCCCAGCTGGGTGGTGTCTTACTCCCACATGCACAGTGTGAACAAAGAACCACTCCAGACAAAAGTGCATTCACAAAACCTATTTGTAGCTGAGGGGCTTGGATACACTCCCCTTGCCCCCCCAGTGCCACTCCCCACTGTGCTGGATTCCCAGGCTGGTTACACTACCAGGGTGCATCCTATGGTCAGGAAGAGCCAGCCAGTGTGGTTTGCATAAACTGTGGGCTGATCTTAGTGTCAGGTATGAAGGAGGAGTGGCAGGTGTGCACTCCAGAAATGCGGAGGTATCTGAAGTCCTGCACATACCAGAGTTGAGTCCCCACTGTGGGCAAACAAAGGTTGTCCCTCCTGTCCTGCATGCTTACGAAAGAATGTGTTCAAGGACTCCTTGTCTGATTAACTGCTCACATTTCCAGCGGGGTAAAAAGTGCTGCACAGAAACACAGACAAACTTTCCTTGCAACCCAGGCAGAGTGGATTTGTGACTGCACACAACCAGCTCTGTTTGTTGTGCTGTATGCCCACTGCATTGTGGTACCAGGTCAGAGCTGGGCCACACAGACAGCTTGCAGCATGTGCAAGGAGCTGTGTGTGCAGAAACTCTGACATGCTGTGAAGCTGGGATAAGGGGAAATGTCATGGGAGTGAAAGGGAAGGAAGAGAAAGAACCACACACTCTTGACATGGGTACCTGGCTATTCTTCTTCAACAGGATGGTGGTACCATCATCAATCTCAAACTCTCCATAGTCTCTTAAACACCGCACCTGCAAAGCAGAAACGCAGCTCTCGAATCATCAGATCTCCCACAGAAAACACCAGACACCACTGCTGACTTACAACATATGCCCCAGAACTGTAATTATGGACACATTCCTATCTGCCTGCTGGAGCCTCAACATAGAGCAGATCTGGAAATACACAACCGGACTGATGCCATGACCTGTGGACTCTACCGGACATTCTCTTCCTGCCTCCACCTGGAGCAAGAAGCATCAGTGAGCCCAGCCCTCCACAGAGACTAGAGGGAGAGTGGCTCAAGAGACAGGATGTGAGGAGCAGCAGCAGCATTTCCAGGGGAACTCCACAAACATACCAGAAAATGACTATCTGTTAACTGTGAAACTGTCTTAAGGAGCAGGTTGATTGTCACTACATCTTCTTTTGAAAAGAAGATAAGAACAGGGCACTTCAGCTACTGACTTTGATTTTTCACATGCTTTTTGTTCTGTCAATTGTATAAAATGATTTATAGTCTCATGTCAGAGTCCTTTTAAAATAACAAAGAAAATTAGTTAACAATCCTTAGCATGGGAACAAGGTTTCTAGTTGATGAAGAAAGTTAAGTTTCTGCAAAGTGCTGCAAAACTTCTCACTGGGATTTCAAACCACTCACCCCACCACACAAATTCCCTGCAGACTAGAAATGCTATCTTTCAACAAACTTTGAGCCCTCAGTAGAAGAGGAAATAAAAATGCTGACAGGCAGAATGTAAAGAGTGAAATGCAGACGGTTATGGAAGCTTTGGTGCTCTTGAAGGCTTTGTTCAATGACCTGGCTTGGGATGGGTGTGAAATTCTCTTAAAACAATGGTTGCACAAAATGTTTGTTCACAGACAGAAACCACTTGCACTTACTTCGATGTACAGACTTTTCGGAGGTTTTATGTCCTGTGTAAGGTCCAGCCCCTCCTCTCCTCCTACTGACTTCATGTAGGTAGCCAGAGACTTTTTGTACCGATTGAACCATTCCACCTGCGGACATTAACAGCAGTTCCTCAGACAAAGCTGAACAGGTAATGCTGAAAGAGAGGTCCCCAGTGAGTGATATCTAGTTTATCTGTGCTGTCAGACCACTGTTCCCAAGCATGTTTGTACCAGCCAAAGGTGAATGCAAGCTTTTCTAAAGGGAAAGACTGCCAGAGAGGCAGAGCAATATGGATTCAGGACACATGCTGCTAATGTTAGCATCTCTGTACATTGGTCTAGAGATGGCATTTGAGAGCAGCATGTGAAGACTTAGTTCTGCTGGCGTCAAGTCTGATCTTCCACCTGATCCTTAAAAGTGCCAAGCGTTACCTGCACTCAGTGTCTGTTTGGGATTGTACCCATAGACAATGAATAAGCAAATGGGTGTTTACAGGAAGACACATTAAGTGTCATGTTTATAGTGGGGGAATTGTACCTTATTTTGACTCTGCTAAATAGATAATCCATCAGGAGGAGTAAGTAGAAAGAAGGAAAGACTTTAAGACAAGGCTGACTCACTTCCTCTGCTGACATGTGAAACTGGATGGCATTTGGCAGGACACTACCATACTCCCACCTCAGTGCTCGGATCCGCAGCAACCGGTCATACCTGGGGAAAGAAAGAAGGGGCAAAACCAGCATCTTTGCTTAGGCAAGTGCTGGTAATACCCCATGCAACAAAGCAGAGAGCAAAAATTTGGGTCATTCTACCCACCTTCCTTTAAAACATGCGATTTTGGACCTATCCAGTAATTAGAACGTTTAAAGGGCAGGAAGAAATAGGGCTAGCGTTTGGTGGTACCAGCAATGAGCACACAGAACCAGCTCCGCAGTTGCCCTTCTACTGCATCTCGCATGGGAACCACTCGCCGGAGCCAAGCGCCCCAACACACAGCGCTCCAGGACCCTGTCTTTTGTGCCAGTGGGGAAGAACCGACGCTCCGTGACCCCGAATGCCCGCGGAAGCCCCCCGTGCTCCGCGCCGCACTCACAGGTACGCCAGTATGCAGCGCTGGTTTCGCAGCAGGCAGCAGTGCCGAAACCGGATGAGGAAAATGAGGTCCGTGCGTCCCGACTTCGCTTCGGACCTGGAGGAGGAGCCGCGTTACAGAGCCGCGGGACGGCTGGGAGAGGAGAAGACACCGGCCGGGTTTGGCGGGGCGGGACGGGACGCCCCGGTACGCGGGCTGG